CCACACTTACATTACATAGTAAATTTTCACTTTTATATAGGATTTATTATTATTTATTTACACAACTATTATTACAGACCTAAGCCCAATACAATATTGTATCTATACTATATTATACATGTTCGTTAATGTAACATATAACATACAAAGTTGTTTTTTATTTCACACAGACTACACACAAACCAATCCGTTCTTTCTACTATTTGATTGAAAGTTTACCAAATTTGTTCTGCCAATAATAAATTACTTAAGATAAACAAAACAATAGCGCCATCGGCTGAAACCTGAAATATAAGTTTCCATTCTGAACTGAAACTCAAGCGTACAAGATGTTAGTTTCCTATGTGTTCAATAGATGGCGCGGATCGGAGTTTTTATTACATGTAATTTCACCTAAGTTTGAGGACATGGAAAAGCTGTTCAAATTTGTTTGAAAAACATTCATTGTACAATATATTAAATAAATTTGCTGTCGCTGTCTGTCCCTATGTATGTTTAAATCTCTAAAACTACGCAATGGATTTTGAAGCGGTTTTTTTAATAGACAGAGTGATTCAAGAGGACGGTTTATATATATATATATATATATATAATACAAGGCGTCATACACAAGGAATTACTAAACTTTGTCTTTACTGTATTTATGGTGTACTTTTATTATTTTATATATAAGTATAATAGATATATGTACTGTATGAGTTAACCAAATTTACAAAAATCAGTGTTCATTATTTAAATTATTAACCGGGTCTTAACACGGATAATTTTATGGCAAATAAACGTATTACGTTGTACGGATACCGTGAGTGCTGTGTGTCGCGAACTTTCGTTAAACAATCTAGTGACGGTAGATGAAGAAAAAACTGCTGTCACCTATCTACATTGACATCGCTGTTACTCCAGTCAGCTCGTGACCACGGCTAGTGCAACCTAGTCGAAACATCGAGAGAGGTAAATACCTTTATTTGCCAAAAAAATATTCGTGTTAAGACCCGGTTAATAATTTAAATAATGTATATTAAACACGAAAGTTTAAAATTAACTATCAGTATTCATCTCTAATTGTCATATTTAGCTTATTATTAAATGTCAACGAAGTGATTCATTTTAGTAAATACTACTGTTAAACTAATTTTCGATACTCAATGTCTTGTTTTTTAGTAATAATATATAATATATGAGTTTTTTTTAACGACTGTATGTGTCAAAATAAAGAGAAAAAAAATATGCATGTACATTCGTGCGAAGCCGGGCTGAGTAGCTAGTTATTACATATAAGTTCACCTAATTGCAAGGACATAAAATACTGTTTAAATTTGCTTGTAAAACATTCATTGTACAAAATGGAATTTTATTTCAGTTTATTTATTTATTATCACAAATATTTGCATCACATAATTAATATATAGGTATATTAATTTATGATGAGTTTTTTATAAGAAAGTTCATTTAAGTTATTTATTTAATTCTAACTTACAATTATGAATCGCGATTGATTCGTCTTATAACTAAATATATATACCTATTCGCATTCGCGACTAAATCTAGAGTGTCCGTCCACCTGCCTTCCTTTGTTCAAAAACTTATAAGAATATATATATATATTGAAAATATATATATAGAAAACATACTAAAAGTCATAGATACAAAAAATCATACTAATGATTTGATATTGTTGTATTGTGTAGGTATATCTATTAAAACGTGTATAAATATTTTTACTGAGTTAATTATTGATCGTCACATTTATTTTATATATATTATTTTCGTACTGTTATATGTTTAAAAACACTTATTGTCTGTGTAACGCTAAAAATATGTTTGTGTTATCTTAGATGTATATCAATTTGTATTGATATTGTTATACTTAAAGAAAAAGAAATAAATAAATAAAAAAAATAATACTAATGAATATATTTGCACCGTGCGAGAAATCGAACCCGCGACCATCGGAAGTAAGTCGTTTAATAATGCCTATCCATTACGTTATTTGTATTATATTTCTATATTATAAAATTAAGGAATCAAACTGCCCCACAGTACTAGATCCAGAGGATGATCAGGTATGCGATGGACCGATCAAGTCAAAAAAGCGAGGGTGAAATGGCGAGCTGTCGTCGGACGAATGACATGTGCCTCTCACTCTACTATATACTTAATGACCACCGTTCTGTCAAAAGCGTTCTATCTTCTCATGTGGTTGCATTAAACTTTGTGGTTGGTTTAATGTCAGTTCTTAATAATGTAATCTATGTATTTACAAGTAACATATCAGTTATTGATTCATATAAATTACATTTTGATGCATTTATTGTATATAAAATAAATTACGTAGACATAGATATAGTCCATTTATTAAAACTTTTCTTATTACATAACCTATAGTAATTCTTAATATTATTATACATACCTATAGGCTAAAAAAATTGTATAGCACAATAAAGGTGAAACCACTCAAGTATTATTTAATTGAAGAAACACAAGACCTTTTTGAAGTTATTACAATATAATGCTCCAATACGAAAAAAGCGAAGATCAAGGAAACCGCTTCAAAATGTCGTTCAAGTTTATTTACGTACAATAATAAGTATTACGTCATTTATACTGATATTCTGAGAACAATTATATATATTTCTTTGCACAAAAAAAAAACGCAATATTATATCCTAGAGATCAAACGAGCTTGCGACTCACCTGATGGTAAGTGATTACCGCCGCCCATGAGCACCCGCAACACCAGGGGAATTGCAAGTGCGTTGCCGACTTTTTAAGAAGGAATAATCTTTTCTTGAAGGTTTCCATATGTTATTAGTATATGTAAATCTTATTAATAATAAAAAACAATTAAATACGTACAGAAATAAAGGAAGGCGGTCGGAGAGGTTGAAAAGTAATCGTCTATCGTGGTATGGACATGTAATGCGTAGGAATGAAGATCATATCTTAAGGAAGGTGTTACATATGATTGCGGATGGTTATAAGAGCAGAGGAAGACCGAAAAAGAAATGAATGGACTGTGTAAAAGATGATGTGGTAAGAAAGAAAGTAAATAACGAGATGACTGCGAACAGGGATGAATGGAAGAGAAAAACATATTATTATAATGACCGCAAATAAATGGGATAAGGAAGAAGCAGATGAGAAATAACATATAGTTTCACTAGCAAACCCGGCCACGCGTTGCTGTGGCTAAGGTTTTTGAATAAAATAATATTGCGACTGTAAATTGAGATGTTATCTTATATTTCAAGTTGATCAAATTGCATACAATGTGCAAATCAAATTTGCAATCGATTCAGTAGTTTAGGAGTTTATCGCGGATAAACAATGTGATATGTAATTTTTATATATAAAGATTTATAGCCTGTTTCGCTTTTCAAGCGACTAATTAAAAATATTCTATATGATAGAATAGAATAGAAAGAATAGAAAATTATTTATTCAAATAAACTTACATTGAAGCACTTTTGAATAGTCATCACATTTTTTTTTAATCTACCGCTCATTCGGAAAGCTGTCTCATCACAAGAAGAACGAGCAAGAAACTTGCGTGTTGCTCTTTTAAATAATTTTATTGTTACTTTACATTTTAAGTTGAAGTGTGTGAATACAAACTACCAATTAGCACTAATTCAATTAAATTCAATATACAACCAACTGAAATAAGAGTAAATCAGTCGTAGTATATACAAAACCCGTTCACGAGTATGACGGATCGGACGGGATGGAGTGTGATAGAATTACATCATATTATATTCACCCACAGAATTATATGCAAGTGCATTATGAATTTTCAAGAAAACTAATACTACAAGAATAAATTTTAACATAACTAAGAAATAGATATGTACATATAAAAAAACTAGTGGTCGAAATTAAAAAAAAATAACAACACAAAAAAATCTTTGAACCTGCAATAACAATTAAACAAAAGAGTATATATGCGTGTGTGTCAAGTACATAGTAGTGTATGTAATGATTTTTTTTATTGATATAATGTGTTTTTATACATCATTAAAAAAATATATTAGATTTCTGCACTTCTTTTTTATTTAATCTACATATAAGTGTGCGAAAACATACATAGTAGTGTATGTTTTTTTTATTGATTTATTGTGTTTTTTTCCCATAATATAAAATATACATATATTAGAATTCTGCACTTCTCTATATAAACTATAAATGTTCGAAATTTCATACTCAGAGTCCACGCAATTTTCGTAAAAATGGGTATAAAGTCTTTATTTTCTGTATTAATATATAGATAAACAAAAGAAAAACAACTAGTTACCCTAAAATAAGCATTGCAAAATTAAATACTAAACTATCATACTAAAACATTTGAATTTCCTTGGTATACTGTGTAACGAACAAAGTTTTGAGGGTTGTTAAAACATTATTGTACATGGGGCATTGTTCTGTGCAGGATATTGTTTTAATGAGAGAGTTTTAGTTACGCGACCTAATTACAGCGCTATAACATCCAGGCAGGCAGTTTAATTAAATATATTTATTTTTACATATAAAAAGAGAGAGTGTAGGAGTTTATTTAATAAAAAGGTATTGTTACAATTCGTTGCTTGCAAAAATTATCAAAACTAGACGGAATTCTATTGTCGAACCTTGCGAATGCAATCCCGATAACCTTCCTACTTCCTCAAAACTCTCTCTCTAAGCAATAGACAAGCCAATCTAAACTTTACTACTATTGAAATAAGTCTATACATAAATGCATAAAGTGATTTTGTCCGAAACCGTAGCAGAATGCACATGCGTCGAAGTCCGTAGTACGAGGCAAGTGAGCGCTACGCCAGACGGCGAGTCAACGCCGCCCGGAACGACCGTAGACCGGCTACCACGGAGCGACCGACTTTACGAAACTTTTCACTTTTCTAATTGACGATACGAACATTTGTTTTAACTATGTGCTATGACAATTTTGATGTTGTTTTGTGTGTTGTGTTTAACATTAATTGTGTCGATATGTCATAAACTCAGCTATGGCACCGCTTAGGATCCCGACTGGGGATTTCTTCACTGATGATCTAATGGAGTTCTTAAATTACTCAACACAGACACCGAACCATGAGACTAGGCATCATGGGAGGCACCATAACCACTCGCATAGGGAGAATCATTCGAAGAACCATAACGTTGCAGATATCCTTTCGAATTCCATTATTGAAGTTATGAACAGTAAATTTGTGCCTGACAATAGTGTTCTACCAGACTTAGAGCCCCTATCTACCCATTTAGATGATTCAATGGAGCGCTATCCTCTTAAAATGAATATAACGATGAATAGATCTGATTTTGGTGTGATAACAGACGAGTTTATGTATAGGCACAGCGGTGCTATGACAGCAGTGTATTGCGTCGCGTATCTGCTCGTGTTTGTAGTGGGTCTCATCGGGAACTGTTTCGTGATAGCCGTGGTGTACCGCTCGCCGAGGATGAGGACTGTCACCAACTTCTTCATCGTGAACCTGGCGGTCGCTGATATACTGGTGATCGTCTTCTGTTTGCCAGCAACGCTGATGTCCAACATATTTGTTCGTGAGTAATTTTTTTACATTTATAGTAGTAATTTTTTTATTTATTGCTCACAATTTTTGTACATAGCGGATCTAAAGCCTGCTGACTGTCTACCAGTCAGCGCTGATGAGAGATAATAAGCCGGTGCAATTTATATGTAATTCGTTTATTAAATTTTAAGTGAAAATGTACCTAATAAAGTTTTCTATTTTTTACTTATTAAAATTTATATTTATATATAAATAAAATTTAAGTGTCTGTTTGTAATTTTGAAATAACCGTTTATTACTACATGCATATGAATATAATTACGGTACATACACCAAAATAACATATTTTACAATTTTTGTCTGGCTGTCTGTGTGTTCCGGTTAATCTCTGAAATAGCTGGACCGATTTTAACGGGACTTTTTTTGGTAGGTAGCTGATTTAATAAGGAGTAATTTAGGCTACTTTTATTTTAGAAAAATTCTTTTAATTTAGAAAAGTAAAGTTAAATTCAGCTAGTTATACATTAGTAGTTATGTGAACGTTATATTTTTTTAATAATTGCAGGTTTATTTAATGTTTAATTAAATGCATTTTATTATTCCAGTGGAAAGGAAATTAATGTGATCATTTAAACAGTATATTGCGAGTTGTTAAAAACTGTAATACTTGAAAAAATGTAATAGGAATATATAAATATTATTTGTATCACTACATAGTATAAAACAAAGTCACTTCCGCTGTCTGTCCATCCCTATGTATGTTTAAACTGATTTTGAAGCGGTTTTTTTAAATAGATAGAGTGATTCTAGAGGAAGGTTAATATATATAATATATGTACACCCAGGCGAGTGAGTAGCTAGTAAAATATAAGAAAATAAATATATGTTATATTAAAATTATATATGTATTTAATTTCTATACTTAAAAAAAGAATCAAGGAAATATGTATGTACTTTTTTCATATGAATATACGAAAATAATATGACATTATTTTGTTGCTGCGTAGAAAATAATATCATTATATAGTACGTTATACCTACTGAAATTTAATAAACTTCAAACGTACAATCTCAATTTGACTGTTGATACTTATGCGTATATTACGGGACATATATACATACAAGTATTGGAAGAGAACAAACATTTGGCCCAACGATATTATCAAGAAAACTTACATAAGTAATTAGACAATCAAATTTTATCTTTAATGCCTGCTTTTAAAAGTTTCATACACTTCAAGACATCTACAAGAACTGCATAATGAAGTAGAAAAAAAAAGAAAATATCTTATTTCAAGTTTAGCGATCTATATACATATACTAGCTTTTGCCCGCGGCTTCGCTTGCGTTAATTTATCCCCTTTCTTGGGGGATGCCCAAGTCATAGTAGCTTTATGCATGCAAAGTCTCGGCTCGATCGGTTTAAAATTGACAAAGTTTCATACAAACTTTCATCCCCTATTTTATCCCCTTGGGGATAGAATTAATCAAAATCCATTCTTAGCGGATGCCTACGTCATAACATTTACCTTCGTGCCAAATTTCAGCCCGATCCGTCCAGTGGTTTGGGCTGTGCATTGATAGATCACTATGTCAGTTACCTTTGAGTTATATATATTTAGATTGATTATTTAATTGAATTAGTGCTAATCGGTAGTTTGTATTCACGCACTTCAACTTAAATTGTAAAGTAAGAATAAAATTATTTAAAAGAGCAACACACAAGTTCTTATTGTGATGAGACAGCTTTCCGAATAAGCGGTAGATTAAAAAAAATGTGATGACTATTCAAAAGTGCTTCAATGTAAGTTTAATTGAATAAATGATTTTCTATTCTATTCTATTCTATTCTATAGAAATAGAAATAGAAATAATCTTTATTGAAATAAACTCATTACAAGTACTTTTGAATAGTCATATTTTGATTCTACCACTCATTCGGAATGCAGATTCATCACAAGAAGAATGAGCAAGAAACTTGTGTGTATATTATTACCTACTTGTAGTGGAAAAGAAAATCATATTACAACCCCAATAAATGGGATAAGGAAGAAGCATATGAAGATGGTTATTTCCTACAAGTATATTTTGGAGTCGTGGAGATCTTTGGGGGGCTTTGTCCAGCAGTGGACGTCTTCCAGGCTGTGATGATGATGATGATGATGTTTTCTTTGAACTAAAAACTAAAATACCAATCATGAAATATTATGTACCTACATATGATAGCATATAAGGAGTAAAACCTATAATCTTAAAAGGAATCATCAAAATTGATGATATTAATAATATATAATAGATATAATTTTATATTCCACAGGTACGTAAGGAAGTTACTATCCAATTAATATCAATATATGATATCTGACGGCCTCGGTAGTCTAGTGGCAGCTAGCACACCGTTTTACTTCCGATGGTCGCGGGTTCGATTCTTAGCACATTGTTAATATTTATATATACCCTTAATATGATTGTTTGTATCGGTGTTTTATGTGTATATTATGTATGTATTTACAAAAAAATTTAAGTATTTATATCAGTTGTCTAGTATTCATACGAAGCTCTGCTTACCGTGGGACTAGATGGCGCTGTGTTAATTATCCACGGTTATTTATTTATTATTATAAAATATATAATATATATAAATACCTGCAATTTTATTATTTAATGACTAATTAAATTTCATAAATAATAAAACTTTTTTTATACTAATAAAATGAAACTAAATGCCCAACAAATGGCAGATTAATGAGGTGCCAATTACTGAACTTTCTAATTTATTCGACGAGAAAAATATTCAATCTTACTAAGTCATATTAATGATGACAGACGAATATTTTAAAATATCGATTCAGGCGACTCAGGAGCGACTTACATTTATCTGTAATTGGATTGTAAAACAAGGAAAACCATGGAGAATACTAGGAATACATTTAAAGAAAACTTCTTATGTAAATTCAATGGCAAACAAACTGACAGCTCCTCTAATGGAAATTGGCAACCGTAACTTGATATGACGCCTGCTATTTATGCTTTATGCGTTGCCATTCAGGGAACCAATAGCAATAAGAAGTAGGACAGTATGTATAACTATATATTTTCACACACATCACAAATTTGAGATTTGAGATTCATGAAAAATGAATTCTAATTCTATGATAATAAGATATATTCATTTTAGTTGTTTTTTTTGTTATTTAGTATATATACGAAAGGATTATCATAGTCACATTTTGTGTTTACATATCTCAAAAAAAATGAGAACAAACTATACTGATAACTGAGGGCTATAGCTGAAATCAGTGTTAGCTCCCTGGACAAATATCGCACTTAGCTACTTCCTTTTTGCACTGTTTTAGCACACAATTCAGTAACATACATGTTTTAATTGACCTTGTGACTTTTGTGTTTATTTGTATTACACCAAATATAATATATATTGTTATATAATAATAATAATCTTAGGACAATTCACACAGCGCCATCTAGTCCCAAGTCAAGCAATTTAAAGCTTGCATTACGGGTACTAGATAACTAATAAGTACATAGATATTTTTTTTATGTAAATACATACATATTATACATAGAAAACACCCAGACCAATACAAACAATCATACTCATGAATACAAATGTTTGTGCCGTGCGAGGAATCGAACCAGCGACCATCGGACGTAAAGCGGTGTGCTAGACGGCTAGACCACCGAGGTCGTCAATTAAAACCAATAACAATCTTTGAGACAACATTAAGAAGTCTTTACAACAATTGTTATAACACAAACGTAGGAAAACAATTTCGTTCCATGAAATCACTTAATTAAACAGCAATTTCTACATGAAACGTTAAACTCGCATCAAAATCTTTTACTTTAAACTTTAAGAATCGTACACATATGGTGGGGGGTGGAGTTACTCGCAGTTACCCGCGGCTGTCGCCTTCCCGAATTTTACGATGTGTGGGTGTCTTTACAGTTGTGTATTTTAATGCTAATAAAATTAACTATCGAATTGCAGAATTGGCGCCAATAACGTCTCCAATTTAAATGAGGTTATTTTTATTGGGAAATAACAGTGCTCTGTAGTTACAAAGTAACCAAGGACCATTTAATATTGAACCTAGTTATACTTTGTGTATAGTAAATAGTATAGTATAGAGATAGTTAGATATAATATCAACAAAATTCGAGAGCACGTCCTTTGTATCCTATTTCGAATATTTTTCCAAAAAAGAAAGAAAAAAGCTTCAATTCTGATAATTCTTCTTAGATAGTTAACAATGATTTTTGACAACCTCGGTGGTATAGCGGTCTAGCACACCGCTTTACATCCGATGGTCGCGGGTTCGATTCCTCGCACGGCACAAACATTTGTATTCATGAGTATGATTGTTGGTTGTTTTATATGTATAATATGTATGTATTTACGAAAAAAAATCTATGTATTTGTATCAGTTGTCTAGTACCCATAGCACAAGCTTCAGCTAGCTTAACTTGGGTCTAGATAGCGCTGTGTGAATTGTCCTGAGATTATTATTCTCTTTTTCACAGCTTAAGCTGTTGACTAGTACCGAGGACGGGACATGCTAAGTATCTCGTTATTTTATTTTGCTGTTTGATTCTATTATTATTATTATTATTAACTAAGTTCAATATTATTGGTATGTATTGATAATGTATAAATTACTGATATTTAATTGTAAACTATAATTATTGTATATAGTAATTATAATGTAATTGCGGTGCCCCTACGGGGTATCACATATCTTCTGTACTTTTTATCAATAACATCTATAATGTACCATGTGAGAAGCAATAAATAAATAAATTTATACATAGCACCTATATCTCTCTGTAACAAATATTTTTGCTGTACTGCAAAACAAGCCCTATAGTTCATGTAAATAGGTTATAATTATTCGATTCTTTTTGATAGTATAATAATCGATTATGTAAATATCGATTTTTTAATAAAAAAAAATTCTCGGGTTTGGTGGTCTAGGGGTTTAGCACGGTACTTTACTTCCGAGGGTCGCACGTTTGGTTGC